GCCGCCAACCAGCCTCACTCAACCTCTCTTCTGTGACCAGCTCTCCTCCTCATTCCCAAGCCGCCAGCGTCTGTGCTACTGCGGCTGCTTCTATTGCCGAGTTTCCAGTATCCCATGAAGCTTCCCCCGTTGCTGCTGCCTCCAATTCTGCCGCTCGGCGTCGTGCGCTGAAGCGTCCAAGGGACGACTCGCCCACGCTGGGGGCACAGCCAGCGCTGCTCGGTGGACGCGAGAGCTGGTTCGTGCCAAGGGGATTCGTGCGAGGCGGAGTTTTGCGAGGCGGGGTGGTGTGTGGCACGGAGCACGGGCATCAGTCAGTGGCAGAGCAGTTCCAGCAGCAGGGGGCGAGCAACCTCATGCAGCAGGCAGCTGACGAAGCCCTGCTGGAGGCGCTGCTGCAGGAGGAGCATCGGCAGCAGCAGCAGGGTGGAGCGAGGAGCAGGGCGCAGCGGGTGTTGTGGCCGCGCGTTGGGTCGGAGAGTGCCCTTCCAGACGATGTGCTGCTGGGGTGCAACAGTGACGAACCTGCCTTCATCCAGCGCTCTGCTCTGTCTGCTCCTCCACCCACCCTGCCACTCGCAGCGCTGCCAGCGCCAATGCGGCCCCAGCTCGCTGCTCTGCCTGCCTCCGCTCCCTGCATTGGCGATTTCGCAGTGCAGCCAGTGGAGTGGCTCCGCGTTGGGTCAGAGAGCGCCCTTCCAGACGACGTGCTGCTGGGACTCTGCTGCGAGGACCCTGCCTCCTTGCAACGTGCTGCTCTCTCTGCTCCTGCGCCCGCCCAGCCACTCGCAGCACTGATGCCCTCGCCGCTCACTGGTCTGCCTGGCCCCGCTTCTGGCAGCGCGACCGGGTGCCTTACAGCAATGCTTGTTGGGAGTGCGTGTGGCACACAGGAGCAAGAGTACCTGGATGCTTGCATTGACGTGCTCAGCAACATAACCAACACTAACAACACTGACAACTGTGGCAAGCACAGTGGCAAGGACAACGGTGCGCTCTTTCTAGACACGCCCATGGCTCACGTGCTGCTGGCTGGGAGTCTCCTCGCCATGCCCTTGGCCAGTGGACCTCACGCTGAGGGGCCTGCTGCTCCACGTGCTGCCCCACGTGCTGCTGGAACAGCCCTGCCAGAGTGGGCGGTGGAGCAGGGAGGGACCGGGGAAGGAGGTGCTGAGGGGCACAGGCAGCAGCAATTTCTCGGCCAGGAGGGCATGCTTGCAAAGGGGAAGCCTTGTCAGTACCTCAAGCTTGACCGCATGCTCTCCCTGCCACCGCACCAGCCACAGCTGCATTCACAGCCACCACCACATCTACTCCCAAAGCCACTCTTACAGTTACTGACACAAGCGCCTTGGCTGTCTGTGCCTTGTCAACATCAACGCGCTCCATTGAATGCGCACTCACCCGCAAGAGGGTCGCGCATGCACTCTCCCATACAACCCCACCTGGCCATGCTGCGGCAGCCCTTCCCCACTGGTGGTGCTCCACCGGCTCTCTGCAGCCCCATACTTCCGCCATGGCCTGACATGACCGTTACATGAGGAGGCGACGGCATGCCCTGAATGCCACAGCTGGTCATGGGCTCAGCTTGGGTGTGCGCTGCTCGACTCGACTAATCTCAAGGAAGAACGGATTCGACACTAACGGGGATGGGTTAATGATTGACCATAAGAATGGTGTCCATGAGCACTTGGACTTCACATACAGCCGTTCTTCCCCATGGGATGCCTCCAGGCTTCATCCCAACACATACGCATGTTCGCTCGTATTTCTAAGACTGCACAGCATTCTTTCTTTGACACTGACTTGCTGAATTGAGGCTATTACTACTGGTAGTATCATTTGTGCCTTCTGACTTCGTAATGTGACATTGTATGTTTTTTACCTGGCAATTGCTTCTAATAACAACCGCAATGTCCGCATCACAGTCACCTCCCTAGATCGTCGTTCCCGAGGCCCCGCGGATTCGCAGTGTCCAACCGCGTGCCACCGTAATTCACTCAGTGCTGATGCTGAGCTGGTAGGGACAGTCACCTGCCTGAATCACAAACCTTGGAGCATGACCGCTGCTCAAGTCCCGCACCGGCGCCTCCAATGGTTTGTAGACGCCCTAAACTCAACCCCAAGGGGCTCGCACATGCAAGCTCCCGTACTTCCACGCCCTGTCATGCTGCTGCAGCCCTTCTCCTCTGGAGCTCTACCATCTCTCTGGTGAATGAGATACTAAAGAGAATGTTCCATAGGGTAAGGAGGGGGGGGTACCAGGGTCCTCGACATCAGACATTTTTGTCTGTTTGTCTTAGTTTCCAGACGATTTTTTTCAAGTTAATCTGATTTTCAAGGAATGATTTATTTTTTCATCTGATTGAGTAGAAATGATTTTTTGTCTACATCTGATTCATCAGAAATGTAATATATGTTTCGTCTGAAATCGAAACATGTTAGAGTACGGGGATTTCCCGCAGAACATGCTCTGACAGGGCAAATCTGTTGTCAAAGCGAATCTGCTGTGTTGTGTAAGGTCGAATCTCTTGTGTCAGGAAGAGATTTCTATGATTGGATGAACATGACGTCGCGAATCTGCCGTGTCAGAAAAAAAATTTATTTGATTGGGCGAATATTTTGAGCTCTGACAGGGCGAATCTGCCGTGTTAGGGTGATTTTGCTGAGACCAGTGAAGTGCGAATCACACCAGTTTGCACACCCTTATTCTCGGCCTACGCACAATCGGGAGCAGCGACTACAGTGTTGTCAGGTAGCGTCACTGTGCATGTGGCCGAACCCCCTAATGTTGCCAGGCACACCATGCAACAAGCGCCAAAATAGAACATTATAAATGATCTGCTGACTTTGTCCTACATTGTGGCCAAAGATTCCACATCAAAACACTCAAGAAACAGACAATTCCGAACACGGGTTCAAAGCACATACATAATATCTACGTTCGGTAGAAAGGGGTAATGTATGTTCGACCGAAAAGCAACGGCAGCTAACCACACATGCGAGCGCACTGTACACTTCCTGGCCAGTCAAAGTCAACAGCTGCACTACCAACGTGGCAGTCGTGATTGTGCTTACAGGGTATGTGCTAGCACCATTCTTGGCATGTTGCAGTCACTACAAGCGCCCAGTTCATGTGGCGATTGTGCATGTGGTGAGAACGAGGGTGTACTGCGAATGAATGTGAAAGGTCCAGAAAAAGTCAGACTCACCTTGTTATCCCACGTGCATCTACACGCTAGAAACTCTATTTTAATTGGTCAGACAAGTTCTTTTGAAATTTCTGATGCATCAGACACGCAAAGGCGAAATATCTGATGCATCAGACGGGCCCGAAGGGCCCGTCTGAGGCATCAGGGGGGTTCAAATCCTAGCGAGGACCCTGGGGGGTACCGTACAAGAAGAGATTCTGTACCCCCTAAGATGCACCCCACTACAGCATATCTAAATCTATACAAACATAGTTGACACCACCCCTACATCTCAGGTTTCAAAACCCGGTGCACCGGGGCGTGCCGAGGCATTCCGCAGCATGCTTCCTGTATTCGTTGAGGGAAGACGTTGGAGGGTTGGTGCTGTTCGCAGCAAGAACGAGAAGAGTTTGTGGCTCCAAGTTGACATGGTAGTGTACAGTACAGTGCGGTGCGCTGCGCTGAGAAATAATTGTTCAAACCCCATGCTAGCACCCACCACCACTCTCACATTGGCCAGAAAGGTGACCTTCATTCTCGGGAAGAGGTAGGCATGGCAGACACCTCCACTTGGCTGACGAACGGCAGACTTGAGTCCTGCGCAGCGTCCGCCTAGCCCCTGAGGACGTGTCACAATTGCGGCATCGAGGAGGATCGCGGTCACACACCGAAGCTGCGAGAATCGATCTCCTCTGAGCCAGATGTGTCGCGACTGTCTTCAGGTCGATAGTTAGCGGGGTTAGAAGTCTTCTTAAAAGTTTAAAATTCACTACGTAGGATTTGAGTGCCATGACAGATCGATCTGGAAGGGACATCGCGTTCGGTGACTTGTGTCGGGTCTTAGCGAATTTTCACGGAAACGGGATACAAGACACGGCGAACTACTGTACACTCGGAACATCGATCTCCCACGGATCGATGTCGCAATTGTGACGCGTCCTGACTGCCTGTATTGCACGCCATAATTCCCAAGATAGTATCGGCTCCTCCTTCAGTCTTGCTCGTGATGCGGCATTCAGTAGCAGTTGCCTGCCAGGGACAGTTTTCACCGCTGGCCGGTGTTCACGTGCCTCGTATCACACAACGACCCTCCCCCCCCCCATTCCACATGCATGTGACAGGCCGATTTCGAGAGGATCATTAGATGCTAGTGTGCTTTATATTATTAAATATCAGGTCGCCACCTCCTATTGGAGGGTTTACGTCCGGAAATGTCGGACATCAGGCCACAACTAAGCGAGTGCAATGATTGCCGGTACCCCTTCTCGTCAGCCCACTTGGCCACACTTGACCTCGACATCCTTCTCGCGCATCGCATCGCATCGCATCACCACCTTCCACCAGCTGCACTCCGTCGCACACCCCCTCCTCCCACGCGAGTCACCAACTGCGCGCGTTTGACGAAGAAATGCGGCGAGAAAGCATCCCTCGCATGCCAAGACGAGACGAAGCGGCATCATCAAGAGGCGCACAATCAGAGCCCAGGCCTGAACGCCACACTGTGGCGAATCAGAGCCAGGGACTGAACACCTGCCCACAATCACGCCTAAGCTGTGTGCATGGGTCGGTGACGTCATTCCATCCCCTGATAGAGTCTTGCGAGACTCAAAGTCATGCTTTCGTCAGTTAGCTCCGAGCTACCAGCATGACTTTGAGTCTCTTGTCTGAAAACCAGCACTACTACCACCGCTATCACGAGCAGCTCGACCGCTATTGCAACCGTTGCGCTGTGGGCTGGGCTAGTGTTAAGGGCATCCGCTGCGCCTAAAGAGCAACCTCGTTTTGGCTCAGCGAGGCGTTATAGCCGTTATGCCGCATTCCTCTGAAGCCGTTGACTCGCCGGCCTCGCAATCTCAATCTTCCTCGCCCGGCATGCAGCCATGGTCGTCAGAGGTGGGTCGCCAGAGGTGGGTGGGTCGCCAGAGGTGGTCGCGGCGAGGGGTGCGTCCGGAGGATTTCAAGATCCGCCGGATTCTAGGCTTGGAATGGGATTCAGAATTCACTTTTGCATTTCCCCTGTTATGTCAGCATTCACACCCCAATGCCGCTCATCATGGGAATGCCGCACTCACTCTGTCTTTCCCTCCGTTCCACACTGAGTGGGCAGGAGGACGCGGTGCTGCTGCGCCACGCGCTGCAGTGCGGCACGAAGCAGTGGGGCGAGCTGGAGAGGAGCGGTCAGCTCAAGAGGAACAACAAGTCGTGCTGTAACCGTTACATCTTCCTCCGAAGGTAACCCATGCTTCATGCCACATTTGTGATTTTCTGAATCCAGGCGTCGTGATACCCGTGAGCATTTCTAACACGCCTCAGCCTTCCATAACGCTTCTTCTCTCCCGTGGCCGTGTGCTGATGGCAGGAAGTTCACAGACCGCTTTCGCCAGAACTTCCTGCGAAAGCACCTGGGAGCTGCTGCACTCCTGCAGCATATTCCATTGGATGGCCACAGCCAGGCATTGCTCTGTCAGGATCTCAAGCAGCAGCAGTCGGAGCATTCGGAGGGCGTGGGAGCAGCAGCCCTGGCGTTCGGAGGGCTGTCGTATGAGTGCGTGATGGCGTTCTTCGCCCCCCATGCTCGCTGTTGCCTCCCTCCCGCCCCGCCCAACCTCTCATCCCTCGTCGCCACCCCTCCCCTTGCTCCTCCTCCTGCTTCCCAAGCTCCTCCTCCTGCTTCCCAAGCTCCTCCTCCTGCTTCCCAAGCTGCCCCCTTCCCTGCGGCTGTCGCGTCTACCTCGGAGTGCCCATTCGCCCGTGATGCCGTCCCCGTTGCTGCTGCCTCCACCGCCGCTGCTTTGCGTCGCCCAGCGAAGCGACCACGGGGCGACTGCCCTGGCCTGACGGCAGACCAACCGGTGCTTTGGGGAAACGGGAGCTGGGTGGTGCGAGGGGGGGTGGCGTGTGGCACGGAGCGCCGGCGTCAGTCAGTGGCAGAGCAGTTCCAGCAGCAGGGGGCGAGCAGCCGCGTGCAGCAGCAGGGAGCGAGCAGCCGCGTGCAGCAGCAGGGAGCGAGCAGCCGCGTGCAGCAGCAGGGAGCGAGCAGCCGCGTGCAGCAGCAGGGAGCGAGCAGCCTCGTGCAGGAGACAGAGGAAGCAGCCCTTCTGGAGGCTCTGCTGCAGGAGGAGCATCGCCAGCAGCGGCAGGGGGGAGTGGGCAGCAGGGCGCAGCGGGTGCTGTGGCCGCGTGTTGGGTCGGAAAGTGCCCTTCCAGACGACGTGCTGCTGAAATCTAACAATGGGGCCCCTGCCTTCACGCAACGCGCCGCTCTATCTGTTTCTCCGCCCTCCCAACTCTTTGCTCTGCCCGGCTCCACTCCCCGCAATGGTGATTCCACTGCCTGGTGTGGGGATTCCGCTCCCTGCATTGAGGATTTCGCAATGCAGCGGGTGGACTGGCCCCCCGTTGGGTCGGAGAGTGCCCTTCCAGACGAAGTGCTGCTGGGACTCTGCTGTGAGGACCCTGCTTTCATGCAAGGCACCGCTTTCTCTGCTCCTCTGCCAACCCAGCCACTCGCACCGTTGCCAACAGCAATGCTCCCCAAACTCGCTGCTCTGTCTGGCTCCGCTCCCTGCATTGGGGATGGTTCCACACTGCAGCAGGTGGAGTGGCCGCGCGTTGGATCGGAGAGTGCCCTTCCAGACGACGTGCTGCTGGGACTATGCTGCGAGGGCCCTGCCTCCGCACAACGTGCTGCTCTCTCTGCTCCTCCGCCCACGCAGCCACGCGCACCCGCTGCTCTTTGTGCCTCCGCTCCCGGCAGCACGAGCAGCTGCATTTCAGCGGTGCTTGCGGGGAGTACGTGTGGCACAGAGGAGCAGGAATACGTTGATGCATGCATTGACGCGCTCTGGAACGGAAGCAACACGGACAACAACAGCAACGGCGCTGACAACAACAGCAACGGCGCTGACAACGGGGGCATTGACAACCACAGTGACAGGGACATGGGTGCTCTCTTTCTCAACACGCCTGTTGTTCATGTGCTGCTGAGTGGGAGTGCCCTCACCATGCCCTTGCCCAGTGGGCCTCAATCTCAGGGGCCTGCACCCCCTTGTGCTGCCGGGACAGCCGTGTCAGAGTGGGCGGTGGAGCAGGGAGTGACCGGGGAGGAAGGTCGTCAGCTACACAGGCAGCAGCAGTTTCTCACCAACGTGGCTACGCTTGCACAGTGGAATGATTGTCGGCATGTAGAGCTTGAGCGCGTTATCTCGATGCCACCGCACCAGCCACAGCCACAGTTACAGCCACAGCCACAGCTACAGCCACTGCCACCAACGCCTTGGCTGACAGTGCCTGGTCAACTTTCAATGGCCCCTGGCACCACCAATGGCCTTTACACGCCCTCCAATCCAAGGGGCTCGCACATGCAAGCCCCCATACAGCCACGCCCAGTTGTGCTGCAACAGCCCTTCTCCTCCGGTGCTCTACCAGCTCTCTGCCACCCCCCTGTTGCCTCCTTAGCCCGACACGGCCTTTACTCTGGGAGCTGATGTCGCTGCTATGAATCCCATCAATGGTCGTCAGATCAGCCTGGATGTGCGATGCTATACTAATCTGTTCAGAATCAACTTGCTCAATACTAGCGGGGATGGGATTAATGGTTGACCATACGATTGTTGGGCATAAGGCACATTCTTCTGACCGAACTGAGATCACAACATGTTTTGCTGACTTGCTCGTGACACTTGCTGCAAAGTGTAGCTTCTGCCGTTTTGTGTATAATACTTTGTGTATGCAATGGAAACAACTACTGTATTGCACTAAGGGACAAAAATGGTACAATGTGCGGGTAGATGGGCGCATAAGCATCCCCACATAATCCCATCTCATCTCCGTAGGTTTTGTTGCAGGGAAGGAGCAAGTCCACTCTCAGGCATATGGTTACTGGTGTTGTGGTGGCGATTGCGGTGAGCACATTTGTGGCCAACATATGTTACTGTGTTTTGTAGTGGAACTGTTGTTGTTATGAGTTGTATGAAAGGAGAGTGCGCAGAATGCAATATCGCGGAAGTGATTACAACTACTGAGCAAACATCGGGGCCTAGGCATAATATAGCAAGGCTAGCTAAGCCCGAGGTCGCGAAGTCGTGCGAGGGTTGGGTGTAGGTTTGGGTTTGGAAAACCCGAAGGCGACGCGGAGGACGTTCGGGAGGCGAGGTCGTCAGACCGAGCCTGAACTCCGAAAAGTTGGAAATGTACGCGTAAGCGGTGCCTCAGTAAGGAATTAGCAAAATTCCTTACACTACCCCCCCCTTCAAGAAAGGTGGTCAATATCAGGCACGTGTCGGCGAGAAAGATACTGCCGGAGTACCGAGTGCCCTTGTAGTGAGTCAGCCGGGACCCACGTGTCGTCGTCACTTGTGCGATCCACCCATCGCAGTAGAAAATCGACGTGGCGGCCGGCTGGGGTCGCACGAATGCGATGATTCAATATCTTCCAGGGTTGGAGCGTGGGATCTGCTACCGGTCGGACACTTGGCGCCTGGTGGGGTCGAGCGACGTCGGAGGACTGGGGTGCCACGTAGTGGCGAAGTAAACTGACGTGGAAGGCGTCGTGGATATGCCAGTCGTCCGGGAGGAGAAGTTTCGCAGTGACCGGTGTCAGCATTCGAATGATGCGGAAAGGTCCCACGTATCGAGGACGCAGTTTTGCGGGTTGGGGCAGTCTGAGGTTTTTGGTGTCCAGGAGAACCATCTGCCCCTCGCGGAAGGGTAAATTTCGTTGGTGTTGGTCAGCGTAGCGGCTGGCGGTCGAATTTGCTTTTCGGATAAAGTCAGCTGCTTTGGCACGCGCGTCATGGAGTTCCGAAATAAACTGCTGTGACCTGGGTACCGGGTTGTCGGGAGTTGTCGATGAGGGTACCACCGGGTCTATCCCGTAATTCAGGTAGAAGGGTGATTGCTTGGTCGTTGCAGATGGGGCGTTATTGTACGCAAACTCAAGCATGGGAAGGTAATCTTCCCACTTGGTGATGTCCGGGCAGTTCGTGCGAATCAGCTGCTCCATCGTTTGGTTTGTCCTCTCCGTCTGTCCGTCGGTTTGCGGGTGGTAGGACGACGGAAATTGCAGGCGGGTGCCGTACTGTGCCCATGTCTCCTGCCAGAATTTCGACGTGAATTTCGGATCTCGATCGCTGATGATCGCCGAAGGTAACCCGTGGAGGCGTACGACGGTCGAGATGAAGAGTCGCGCTGTTTCTTCGGCTGTGATCGTTGTACGGCAGGGCGCGAAATGCGCCATTTTCGTTAAGCGATCAACGACGACGAGCACGGAGTCGTTGCCACTTGCGCCAGCTGGAAGGCCCGTGACGAAATCCATAGTCACCTGTTGCCACGGTCGTTCGGGTGGCTCGAGGGGCTGCAGTAAGCCAGCTGGTCGTTGTCGTGATGACTTCATTGCCTGGCAGGTCGGGCAGGCGGACACATAGCGCTGCACGTCCGACGCCATGTCGGGCCAGTAGTAGTTCCGCTGCAGCAGCTTCAATGTTTTGTCGACGCCGAAATGCCCGGAGAGGTTGGAGTCGTGTACTTCTTGCGTCAGTAATTCGCGTAAGGGTCGGTAGGAAGGTACCCAAACTCGGTTAGTACCGACTTTTAGGTAGTAACTTCCATGCGGTGTAGTGACCCCGCGGTGTTGATTGGTCCTGAAAAATCTGTCGATCCTGTAGCCGTGCTTGAATAATCCTGCCAATAAAGGGTTGGAATGGGCGATTAGTACTGCTGCGGTCTGCATGGATGGGCGGGTCAGAGCGTCGGCGATGTTGTTGGCGCCCTTTTTATATGTGATGGTGTAGCGGAAATTTGATTCGAGGTAGTCGAGCCATCGGATTTGTCGTGGGTTGAGCTGTGGTTGGCTGCGCATGTACTGTAGTGACTTGTGGTCAGTTCGGATTGTGACATCCGCTCCCGTGAGGTAGCATCGCCATGTTCGAAACGCCTGCACGATGGCGAGCATTTCCTTGTCGTGAACCGGGTAGTTGCGCTCGGGCGGCTGCATTTTTCTTGACTCGTACGCGATGGGTTGCAGTCCGTTGCCGAAGTCCTGTAATAGCACAGCGCCGACAGCGAAATCGCTGGCGTCCGTCACGACTTCGAACGGTCGAGATGGATCTGCCAGTCGAAGCACCGGGGGTGAACTCAAAATTTTCTTCAGCTCGTTGAAAGCCAGCTGCTCTCTCTCCCCCCAAAAAAACTGCACGCCCTTATGCAGGAGATCGGTTAACGGCCTGGTTACCCCCGCCATATTGGGTACAAAACGGCGGACGTAGTTAACGAAGCCGAGGAAACTCTGCAACTCAGTGATGTTCGTGGGCGGCTTCCACTCCAAAATCGCTTTTACTTTTTGAGGGTCGATTTTAATGCCTTCCCCAGAGACAACGTGCCCCAGAAACTCCAGCTCCGACCGTAAGAACTCGCACTTAGAGCCCTTCGTAATCAGCAGGTTCTGCTGCAAGCGTCGGAACACTTCGTCTAAGTCCTGTAAATGCTGCTCCCGAGTCTTGCTGTACACCAGGATGTCGTCCATGAGAAGAATTGAACGAGAATGGAATGACTATGAACGAAGTGAGTACAAATAGGAAACCCTAATTGGGTTGTACCCCCTATGGGATACCCCACTATAGCCTACAGAAACAAGTAAGCTATATGTTCTGACACACCCCCATAGGCAAAGTGGGGTAGAACAAGGGGTCACAAGACCAGTCAAGCAAAGCAAAGCAAAGCTCAGGGTGGATCACAAAGTCACCACGCATTCCGAGCACAAGTTCAAAGGCCACACGGCCAGTTCACATGCAAGATCATATATAGAGGTATACAAGAGTCAAGCAAGCAAGAGCAAGAGTATATATATGCGAAGGTACAAGCAAGGTCAAGAGGAGAGCAAGTGAGGCAAGACAGGCACAAGACCCAACTGCGTGCAGCAACGCTGATGATCACAAGGCGCAAGTGCCTTGGTGAAGACATCAGCAGTGTTGGCCTCAGAGGCCACGTACGCAAGTCGCAGCTGTCCACGCTGCTGTAGCTCACGAGCAAGAAAGTAGCGGAGAGCAATGTGCTTCGTTTTGTGCTCCAGTCGCTGCTCTCGACACAAGGCCAGCATGGCCTTGTTGTCTACGTACAGGACTGGAGGAGAACGAGGCTGCTCTCCAAGGTCGGTCAGCAGGTAGGTGAGCCAGCGTAACTCCTGTGCAGCCATAGCCCCAGCGTAGATCTCAGCCTCACAACTGGAGCCGAGAACAGAAGACGAGCGGGTAGCCCGCCACGAGACAGAGCCGGAACCAAGGCTGAAGGTGTAACCCTGTGACGACCGCTGCGTAGCCTGGTCGTCAGCCCAAGAAGCGTCTGCGTGCCCAGTGAGGACCACTGGACTGCGCCCTCCAAGCACTAGCCCCATGCCCGACGTACTGCACAAGTAGCGCAACACCCTCTTCGCTGCAGCCATGTGCTCTGGTCGGTGTCTCCCAGGAGCAACAAAGCGTGCGAGAATGCTAAGAGGGTATGCGAGGTCAGGTCGTGTGCAGGTCATCAGGTACATGAGGCAGCCAACAAGCTCTGCAAACGGGCCACTCGACTCTACGGACTCATCCGAAGGCAGAGCTGAGAGCAAGTGGCGAGTAGGCAGAGGAGTGGCCTGAGGCGAGGAGTACGTGAAGCCGAAGCGCTGAAGGACCTGCTGCACCATGTGTGACTGAGTCAGGGTAATGGTGCGGCGTGCTCTGTCCCGGGTGATCTGCAAGCCAAGGTAGCTGCGCAGTTCACCCAGGTCTGTGCACGTGTGTCTCTTCTGCAGCTCGGACTTCACGTAGGCGAGTCCAGCAGTGTCAGCAGTGGCAAAGACCAAGTCGTCGACGTACACGAGGATGTAGAACGGCGGCAGAGAGGTGTCGGTGCGCAGAAACAGCGACGGGTCGGCAGTAGAAGGAGCAAACCCAAGTGCCGCGAGCGTAGTCCTCAGTGTGTCGTGCCACTCACGTGGCGCCTGGCGGAGACCGTAGACTGGACGCCGGAGACTCCACTGGGTACCAGGAGGGAAAGACCCAGTGAAGCCAGGTGGGCGACGCAGCCAGATCTCCTCGTGCAGACTTCCCTGCAAGAAAGCTGTGCTGAAGTCGAGAGAGTGCAGCTCGTAGTCACGGTGAGCAGCAACGTGCAGCAGAACCCGAAGAGTGGTCATCTTCGGGGTGGGGGAGAAGGTCTGAAAGTAGTCAACCCCCTGCCGCTGACTGAAGCCACGAGCCACGTAACGCGCCTTGAAGACAGGCGGAGAACCCAGCGGCCGCTTCACCCTGAAAATCCACATGCCACTGACGATGTTCGCCCCAGGAGGGGGAACAGCGTCAACGTAGGTGCCTGTGGACTTCCAGGAAGCCATCTCTGCATCCATAGCTGCCTGCCACTGAGAGGAGTAGGGACCCTCTATCGCCTCCGCGTAAGAGCGCGGAGTCGGGATGTCTGGTGCATCCGGGTCTCCCTCAGGGGCTAGCAGTACAGACGCGAGACGAGGTGAAGCGGCGGCCAGACACTGGAACTCCTCCTGCCTGTCCTCAAGGACGTCCGTGCCAAGGGCACACTCACCCCCGACGGACGGAGGACAGGCAGACTCAGAC